TCCCCGTTACGATGATTCATCCTCTCCAATTGCTCCGTTTAACATTATTATTATAATTATACAGTATTCATATAGCGCCAACGGTTTGCTCAGCGCTGTACATTATAATGGGAGACAGTACAAGAGACAGTACAGTAACAATACAATACACGAGGGGTTCGATGGCCTTGCTCCTTGGAGCTTACAATTAGGAGGGAGGGGAGAGTGGTACAGGAGAAAATAGCTGTGGGGGATGGAGTGGTGGGAAGAGTGGAGGAGATCAGCAAATTAGGTGAGGGCGGGGTAGGCTTCTCTGAAGATATGTTTTTTCAGGGTGCGCCTGAAGGTGAGGAGGGAAAGTGACAGTCTGATGGATTGGGGTAGTGAGTTCCAGAGGATGGGGGAAGCCCTGGAGAAGTCCTGGAGACAGGCATGGGAGGAGGAGACCAGGGAACTGGAGAGAAGGAGGTCTTGGGTGATAGATGAATATCAGGTCGGTGATGTAGTTTGGGGCAGTGTTGTGAATAGCTTTGTACGTTAATGTTAATATTTTGAATTTTATGCGTTGGGCAATCGGAAGCCAGTGGAGGGATTGGCAGAGGGGGGTGGCGGATACGGAGCGGTTGGTAAGGTGGATGAGTCTGGCTGCAGAATACAGGATGGACTGAAGTGGGGATAGCCTGTGTTGGGGTAGGCCAGCGAGGAGGGAGTTGCAATAGTCAAGTTGGGAGATAAGGGAGTGAATGAATTGCTTTGTAGTTTCTGGAGTTAGGAACGTGCGTATTTTGGAGATGTTGCGGAGGTGGAGTCTGCATGAATTTGTCAGCGATTGGATCGGGGGCTGGAAAGACAGATTGGAGTCTAGAATGACACCTAGTACTCTGGCTTGCGTGGTGGGGCTGATGGTGGTGTTGTTGGTCGTGATGGAGAGGGGGGGCGCGGGCTGGTGTGGAAAACTAGGAGCTCGGTTTTGGCAAGGTTTAATTTGAGGAAGTGGAGTGACATCCAGTCTGATATGTCATTCAGAAGGCTAGTGATTCGGGCGGAGACTGAAGGAGTGAGGCGAGGGGTAGAGAGATAACATTATCATCAAAAGTGAAAGTAAAAGAACCCCCACATTTTGTATTGTCCCCAGAAAAAAATAGAGGGGAAATTTTCCAATGGGGACACTAGTTCTACTGACCTGGGGTCCCCAAGGAATTCCCTCAATTTTTAGAGATGTTCCTCACTTAATGCTTTGGCTATGGGACAGGAAGTAAATCTCCCCAGTGGAACACAGATGGAAAAAAAAATAAACTGACAAGGGTTTTAACCCTCCTTTGTTATTATTTTTTTCCATTTTGAATAGAGTAATTTTGCCTATAGTTCTACTGTAACTTCGTTAACCTTCGGGGACCTCTTAAAATAACTTTCGGTTCTCAGGAAACCTCTTCTAAAAACAATTCATTGGGGTTCTATAGGAAAAATGTCCCCTACATTGGCAGCTGTTGGGAAGAATGCCCTCTCTTACAGTGGTGATCAGAATCCTACCCTTATAGACCTTGAAAAAGATGTGTCATGCACTACCAATTCTAAATCAACCTCTTAATGAGATATTGAAGGCAACCAATACACTATAATATAGTTTAAAGGTATCAACTATTCTTTATTTTTGTAATAAATGTAAGCAAATATTGTAATAAAACACACTATTGTTCTATTACATAAACATTTTTGTAAAATACAGACACAATCTTGAAACTCAACCAGGGCAAAATAAAATGAAAAGACAAAAACGAAAAAAAAAAAAAAACCCACGTGGCGTAATAAATCATATAAAATGGTATCCCAACTGCTGGTTTTCAAACCCTGCAACCATAATATCTTGCCTGTCAGTTTTTTTCACTCTAAGATATCCAAGGCTAAAAAACCCCCAAAAAAACACACAACAAAAAAATATTATGGTTGCAGGGTTTGAAAGCCAGCAGTTGGGGATACCACTTTGTATATGATTTATTACATCATGTGTTTTGTTGCTCTAGTTGAGTTGTAAAATTAATTGTGTCTTTATATCACAAAAATATTTTTATAATATAATATTTTTATTACAATATTTGTTTACATACTTGTAATCAGGGAAAAAAAAAAGTTGATACTTTTTAACTATATAAAATGGTATATTAGTTGCCTTCAAAATCCCAATAAAAGGTTGATTTAGAATTGGTACATAGAGAAAGAAGTTCACGTATATCCCTGCTATAATGGTGTCATGCAGTTGACTCTTGGAACCATGTAGGCATCATCAAATGTGAGGTAAACCAACCACAGCAACGTCTGTACAACCCCTAGCAACTTCTGTTTGAACAGATACTCGACGGTAACTAGGAGGTCAATATTTAAGTGAACTAGAGCGGTAAAGAAAAGCAGACCACAGAGAGTAAAAAATATCCAGCCAGGGTCTAGGTTGAAAGGGAGCCACAATGTCTAGAAATCAGGAAAACTTTTTAAAACCTTGACATCACAAGGTACATGAGGAAAAATTGCAAAACATTTCCTGTGGAAACACCTTCGCAAAATACCCCCACCACATGCCACTGATAGCAAGAACCACACCTACACTGTTACACCACCACATACTAAAATATCCCACACGGACACTGCAACATCATTACACAGCTGCTGGAGAGTGCCACAAAACAGTTATATAGTGCACCTGGCTGTTGAAGAGCGACAGACACTGTCACACCTGGTTACTGAAAAGTGCCAAAAGGGACGCAAAATATTACAACTCCACACCTAGCTACTGGAAAGCAGCAGACTAATGCGGTCACACAGCCACTCATTGCTGCTGTAGAGAAGCACGCAATTACATATGGCTCTTGGACCGTACCACCATACTACATAATCACACTGCCGTTTCTGGCTGCTGGAATTGCTCAATACCAGCAACCTTCAAAGAACCATCTGATCGTTTTTAGTTTAGGGGTGAGAGGCAATAAAGCCCAAGTTCATTATGGACTTCTCAAAGAAAACCTATAAACTTTTATAAATGACTAATGGAAAAGTCATAAAATTGTTATGCATCTGGCAGAGAAAAAGAGTGACAACATTAAATTGAGAAAAGGCCGGGTAACAGCTGCCTGGCATAAGAAAAGATGTTAACACGTTTCACTGCACAGTTACATTCCATTAGCCCCATATAAAGGTCACTGTCATGCTAAGTTTCCAATTTTTTTTTTTTCATATATATATTTTGGACAAATTGCAAATACAAGACCAGTTGTACTCAATGAGGAAGTGACATTCTCTGAATCATGACACTGCAGCTTTCGGTGTATCAATGTTCCCAAGTACCCAGATCTAATCTAATTTTATGCTGATGCTTTCACCTTCACCCAGTAACTTGCGATTTGGAAATTCTAGGTAATGAATGCTGAACATGCTCTATGTATGGACACAATTATCTTTTTTGAACCCCTCTAGTTTATTTCATCCTTTATTAAATTAGATCTATAATCACATGACCCTCAGAAGTAGAACAGCAATACAAAAAACGCATTCCAAACATTTTTAAAACAACTTATCACTAAAATAAAAATATTTCCCTGCAAATATACTTCTCCGGACTAATTATTATTATTATACAGTATTTATAAAGCGCCAATAGTTCGCTCAGCGCTGTACATTACAAAGGGGGACAGAACATGTGACAGAACAATACCAATACAATGCAAAACATGAGGGGATTGAGGGCTAATTATTAGTTTCCGGCTCTTTTCTCTTTGCAGTTCGTCTTTTTTGTGTTTTTTTCTGCCTTTATAAAGTCTGACTAGATAGTGGTCTCACCCATTATCATATTCAATTTTTAGAGGGGTCACATTATCCCAATAGTTACCAGATCACTGAAGACATTTTGAATCTATAGAGCCCTGTCTGATGGCATCACTCATCACAGTTGAGGCAACTTATAGGTTATATACTACATACTTCAACGCGACTACTTGTTGTAGTTAGATCTGTACTTTCTTTTATACCATATGTCAAGGTGTGTACCCCATGATTAGGTTCCCTACCGAGTGAAGTTGTACCTCAGATGCACTGGTTTAGTTGTTGGATTGAGTAATAAAAAGATTTAAGGCTTCTAATACAGTATTTCCCATTTCTTCTTTTGAAGCATTTGCAGAGACTTCTTTAGTAGTGGATGACAAGAACCCGGCTCCTGTCATTGGTGGTGATGTGGGAAGAGCAGCCTGCAGCACAGTATCTACTACTTTTCTCCTTTACAGTTGAAGCTACAATAAGTTTTTGCACTGACATAGTATATTACTATTAAATTTATTGAAAGAAAATTTAAAAAGGCCAAGTTCACCTTTCCTAAGAAAAGAAAAAAAAAAATGTGCATTTACTATTTACAGCCTGTAAATCATTGCATCTGCGATCAGATCACGGGTGCAATGCCAGGATGCTGCAGACTCGCAGAAAGCGGTCTGCCCGTACCTCCCATATGACAGGCAGTTACTAAACTGCAGGAAGAATCAATGAAGTACTTAGAGCGCTCTCCAGCACCATTGCAGTTCACTGAGAACTACAAGCCGTCTGCCGCAATGGTAGCCTGTTCATTTACAGGAAGCTGAGAATAAATGACGTGGCCGTGTGCACAGAGCCTTGCAAGGCCACGCTGTTTTTAAATTGTGACAGCGAGAAGTTCCCTGGCTGGCTGACAGAGAGGGGACCGCTGGTGGCGTAAGGTGAGCAAATAAGCTTAGGGTTATATATTATACCCTAAATTTGAGCGTAAAAAGTACTGAAAGGTGAACTTATCCTTTGAATAAAACTAAAGACAAGTATTACTTCCCTTCCTTTCACCAATCTCTGCATAAGTGAAGAGAATCCGCTGTCTGAATGTACAATCCCTTGTAATAGGAGATTATTGGAATAGTGGGAACTGAAAGACTAAAGTCTTTAAACGGTCCTTGGCAAACTCAGGCACAGTTTTTTTTTTACTCCTCCATCACATGTCACACTGACACATCTGCCTACATTTAGTCATTGCACAGTCTTACCTTAATTAGCCTCCCTGGCTGCAGAAATGGCAGGCAATACTTGGGTTTGTGAATGTATTCTTCAATCTCTTTGCCAAGTTTGGCAAGCTGCTGACGAATTTTGTAGTATGTTACAACACTCTCCTCATTGGGGATCTGTATACTGTTATACTGTTCCTCTAATGTCTTCACCTCTGTAAATGAAATAGAATGACCATCATTGTTCATTCAACATGGGGCGTATTTTCTTGTGAGTAAACACTTCTGAACTATCTGGTTACATTTGATATAGCTCCTTATTTTCATTATAGTATTTCATATACAGAATATAGCCAGTTTCTACAACTATTAGGAGGTAAAATCAAAGTTGTATATTTAAAGGATAAGTTCACTTTTTACAAAAAAAATAAATGCCCTTTTTTTTGCAGGAAAAAAAAAAATGTGCATTTACTATTTTTTTTTGGTGATTGAAAAACCATCTATCAGCAGATCCCTGGTGCCATGCAGGACTCCTGCAAACCTGTCAGGTTATCTGTGTGCTTGTACCTCATACAGCCAAGCAGACGTACTGTGACAGGAAAAATCAATGAACTACCACAGCACTCAACAGTACCCTGCTAATTTATTGAGAACTGCAAGCCGACAACCACAAAGGCTGTTGGGACTTGAATAAATGACGCTGTTGCTGTTTTCAAAAAGTGACAGATAGTACGGGGAACTTCTCCCAGTACTGGTGTCACAGGGAGAGAGGGCAGTGGCTGCAGCAGTGGGAACATGTTACATGTTTTACCCCAAAAACGGGTGAAGCCTGTAACACGTTCCCAAAGGTGAACTTATCCTTTAAAAAAAAAAAAGTTATCAAGCACAAAGGGAACATAGAACACACCGTGGTACAGGTTTTCCTGCAAGCGAACAGGGTTCAAAAGGAAAATTAAAGCCTTTAAAAAAAAAAAAAAATTCCCGACTGCTCCTTCCAATCATTATTGGAGAACTTCCGGTTGCGTCTGACGTGTTTCAACATTAGATTGAAGAAATGAGGAAGTCGTTCTAATGATGAAAAACATCAGGCGGATGTGATGTGAGATGCAACCAGAAGTGCCGCGGCGCCCGCTTTGAGTATTGGGAAAAATCAAGCTGCTTGTATTCCAAACACATGTAAGCGCAATTTTGATATTATTAAACTGAATTTTAAGCAATGTTGCACTATGGGAGTATATTTTACATGGTCACTGAGAATTTGTGAAGAAGTGAGGAGGCGATTGGGCGCATTAACATTTGATTGTGTAAAGGTTATTTACAAAATATGCAGGGTAAGGTGCAAGACTGAAGGGGAAGGGATGGAGCACATTCATTGTATCTTGACACACTGGTGGTGGACAAAAGGAAGGTTACACATTTTGTGGATTTGGTTCACGGTTAAAAGTGAAATGCACATTTTTCACCTGTAGACGGTAATTGTATTTAGGGGAGGAGTGGCACTCATTTTGTTTGTTGCACTTTTGTTGCATATACAATTCTTGAGTATAAGAAATACTACACTATATTAGTTTCTTTATTTTGGAGCTTTGGATCAGCACATTGGAAGATCACAGGGGAGGGAGAGATTGTATGGCATACAACACATTCGGATAAAAGGAGATCACGATGGGAATCAGAGGATTGGAGTACGAAGTGGTGTGCTTTTGTTGGTATAACAATGATTTCTATACTGATATTCTGTAATTATCTTGTTCTGTTATACTGGATGCTGCAGTAAATCAAGTGTAAGCACACACAGAAAAACTGGTTGTCATTTTGTGGGAAAAAATGCTTTTTAACATTAAAGTTGAACTCTGGGCAGAAATACTGTACATACTTCCAGAAATACTGAACATACTGCTGGTTTAACTTAGGAAGCCTCTAACAGAGTGCATTACTTACCTTACTCCATGGTCCACAAGATTCACACACTTGGGACATTCATTCCCCCAAAGCCATTCCTTTTTGCCTGTCATATGACCACCCTTCTTGCCATCAATATCATATACTAGATAATTCCCATTAAGAGAATTATCTAGAAATTTATGGTTCAGACTGAGACATGCTGTAAGACAGGTCAGACTGAAGACAACTTACTCTCCACTACTCCCGGTATAGCCCGGTAATGCTGGAACTGGTAAAAGGATTTCTCCAACATGTACTCAGGGTTAATTTCTTCCACCCGCAGGAGGTTCAGCACCATGTTATAGGTGAGATGGAAAGCACTGTTTAGCGGATCAGCTGATCCCTGGGGAGACAAGAAGACAAGATGATGAACAGTTTCCAAGAGACAAAGTGAGAATATATCACGTTCATAAAACAGCTAGCCTAAGCATAAATTGAAACACTAGGTGATCAAATTAAGGCACTGTTCACAATTTCCAATATGAAGGCCAGCAATAGACGTAGCTATGATGACACCTGAAGCAGGCTTCATCTGCAGTGGCCTATTCTTTAACCATAACATCCCAGTAGAATAACAAGGTTAGAGTGAAGCTCCAGACAACCTTTAAGTAACTGGTGAATAAATTAGGATTTTTGGGTTACTTATGACTACTTAGGTTATGCTTTCATCTTTAGGTTAATGGACAATGGCCAAAAAAGGCAGGAAATCCCAGCGAAGCATAACCCCCTCCAACGTTTCATGATCGTACATCACAGGACACGCAGGACTTCATATTCATGACTACTACTAATCTAAAAACATAACAGAAGGGAAGTCCATTACAAAGCGTGATTCTTCTCATGTGGACACACATGATGCCCACACTCAGGATTTTACCAGCTGGAATACTATGCAGCCAGCCACTGAAGCAAAAAGGCTAAAAATGACAGTGGAGCACCCAAACATGATGCTAAGAACAGATATTGCACTTGGTGTAGTGTAGGCTGAGAAGAGAACTCAAAGGACTGTGCTGACAACCACCCAAAATAAAAAATAAGCAGCTTGCATCAAAATACCACGTGGTGATTATGCCACGAAGGTAATTGTTTAAGCGTTTCCTGTTATTGGGGACGTAGGTGCACCTGTGTTACCCTGTGACACACGCCCATGGTGGAGACAAAGTGGTCATGCAGACACATTCCACTCGTCATTGTTTAGAGCCATTTTAAATTCCTATCCCTGAACAAACCCCCAACTATATTGACACGGGTAAAAAAAACAACCATGCCATAACAATGAACCAGTTACTGCATTCACAGCCAAAGGAGCCTGCTAAATATCCACACAGAACAATGATCACCATGTTTTCCCAAGGAAAGAGAAAATTATACTGTTGTGCTTTTAGCACGCAGACCATGAAAACCAAATACGAGCAGACCTCTGAAAGGTTTTACACGATGATGGAGTGCATCTGAAGTCCAGATGCTGCCACTGCAAAAAAACACCTCCCACAGCTTGGCATTCCCAATGTTCTTTCCGTTACAGAGAGGAAGCAACAAAACGATGTATTATTATTCCCTGCAGAATAGGTCATGAAACGCTTAGCACTCAAATAGTCTTTTGGTTTCACAACAGAAAGAAATTTATTCTGCAGTGAACTTATGAATCAGGGTCAGGAAATCTGAAAAGGTCACAACATTTTAGATGGTAAAACTTTTTTCTGTAAATGAGAAGCATATATTCTAACATTGTACGGTGAAGTGAAAGCAACTTCTACAAGCTATACGTATGAAAATATAAGTGCAGGATACAGAGACTAAGGCGTATTCACACCTGCCTGCACATGCTCTGTTGTACGTTGTGCAGTGGCAGTGCGATGCATTGTTACAAGACATCTCAGTTTACTTTCTTTTGCAATGTTGTTAAACCGTCCGGCCGTTTATATACAATGGCTGGACGGTGGCAGTGCAGGGTCGGGTGGCCGTTTATAAACGGCTGCCCCCTGGGAGCGTGCAGCACCACGATCCGGTGCCTACTGTGTCCTCCGGACACAGTGGAACACCAATTGTCAGACGGGACCTCTCTGCCAGGTCCGATCATGTGATCACATGCAGAGTAGTAAGCAAGATGTCACTTCTGACATTGCTTACTACGTGTAAAATCTGTGAATGATCACAGAGGTCACATGGTACAAGGCTATTCACAACAGCCTTGTACCATCTGACAAGCTGTGACCAATAACATCTCAAACATTTCTCAATGGATGCAAGAATGCAGCCAAAGAGAAGGAGAAATGATTGCTTATACAGCCTTTATGGGCGTAAAAGCAATCAGTGTAAAAAAAAAAACAAAAAAACATAAAAATGTAAAAAAAAAAATGTTTAAAAATTATAATTTTTGGTTATAAACTAATTTGGGTTATTTATTTTTTTTACTAAAAAGGTAACAGAATACATTTTGGCCAAGATTTATGATGAAATATTATTTGCAAAATTGTATAAGACAAACACTTTTTTAAAAAATTTTTGACTTTTTAATTTACATAGCAAAAAAAAATTAAAATCCCAGTAAATATATATGACCAAAATAAAGCTCATCGGTCTCAAAAAAATGCTAAAAAATTTAATATGGGTACAGTGTTACATGACCGCGCAATTGTCATTCAAAAGTGTGATAGCACTGAAAGCTGAAAATTGGCCTGGACAGGAAGGGGGTGAAAGTGTCAGGACTTGAAGTGGTTAAAATGTCAGGAAATTACTTCACCTAACTCTGTACACTGCAGCATGTTGCAACATACGGTGCTGCAGAAAAATGCAGTGCACACCACCAGACGTGTGTGAACAGGGCATATAGAAAACTTTTTTCTATGGGCCCTTGTGTTAAGTCTGCATTGATCTATTCAGGGTAATGGACATGGTATGAACAAGCCCTTAAAGTGAACATATTCTGACAGAAATGTGTGGGCTGCCATTTCTGAACTTTCCTTGTGAAACTCACTTATTAATCATGTTTTCCAAGATGTGAGTCAGCACAAGTATAGAGATAAGGAACTTAGACACTTGCCAGAAACTCTGTCGTACTTTTGTACTGGGAATATTGGGGCTCGTTCAACCTACACCATGTTCACACCGCTTCAGCTTGCGGACAACTGTTGGTTTTTAGTTACGAGTCACATTTCAGTGCAATCACACTGTTTTTTTTTTCATTTTTAAACTTTATTTGGAATTCATGTCTTTTGACAGCAGTGTGCTGTACGTGGACTTGCAGTGCTTGTCAGTGGGCTGTAATAAAATTCTACAAGTCTGCATTTTTCCACAGCTCACCAAATCGCACCACCCGGCTGTGTATAGTGTGAAATGGGCACATAGAATACATTAGTTTTCTATGTGTCCTAACAGTGACTGGTATTTATCCAGTGCGGAAAAATGCCATTTGTGAACGAGCCCTTGAAGGGAGAAACTGCCAGAAGTTAGCACATTTCTCTCAATAAATGTAAGTTATAGCAAACCTTGGCTTTCCCTATTCAAATCCTAAAAGGAATAGGTTTGCTTTAATTAATTTCCCATCAGTGTCAGTGGGAGGAATGGTGCCCCATCACTGGTGTCTTTTGAGGAATGGTGCCCCATCATTGGTATTAGCAAGAGGAATGGTTCCCAAATGTTAATATTAGTGGGAGGAAAAGTGCCCCATCGTTGGTATTAGTGGAAGGAATAGTGCCCCAAGGGCCAAATAAAGATTAGCAAAGGGCAGCAGTTTGGAGATCACTGTTAATGGGGTAAAACGTGGAAATGTACAGTTGTGTTCAAAATAATAGTGTGTTGAAAAAAAGTGAATAAAGCTCAAAATCCTTCTAATAGCTTTTATTTCCATACACACAAATGCATTGGGAACACTACACATTCTATTCCAAATCAAAACATGAAGAAAAATAGATCAAATTTGTGTTGTTCCTCTAAAAAATTGAAGAAAAGTGAATATTAGACTGTTCAAAAAAATAGCAGTGTTTGTATTCTTATTTACAAACTCAAACATTCACTATATAAACTGAAAAATGTTTGAAGATTTTGCTTTCCTTTCAATCACTTAATGAATATTTACTTGTATAAGCGCTGTTTCTGAGAACTGCTGTACATCTGTGTTGCATGGAGTCAACCAACTTCTGGCACCTGTGAACAGGTATTCCAGCCCAGGATGATCGGACTACATTCCACAGTTCTCCTCTATTTCTTGGTTTTGCCTCAGAAACTGCATTTTTGATGTCACCCCACAAGTTTTCTATTGGATTGAGATCCGGGGATTGGACTGGCCACTCCATAACATCAATCTTGTTGGTCTGGAACCAAGATGTTGCCCGTTTACTGGTGTGTTTGGGGTCGTTGTCTTGTTGGAACGCCCATTTCAAGGGCATTTCCTCTTCAGCATAAGGCAGCATGACCTCTTCAAGTATTCTGATGTATTCAAACGGATCCATGATCCCTGGTATGCGATAAATAGGCCCAACACCATACTATGAGAAACATCCCCATATCATGATGCTTGCGCAACCATGCTTCACTGTCTTCACAGTGTACTGTGGCTTGAGTTCAGTGTTTGGGGGTCGGCTGACAAATTGTCTCCGGCCACTGGACCCAAAAAGAACAATCTTACTTTCATCAGTCCACAAAATGTTGCGCCATTTCTCTTTAGGCCAGTCAGTGTGCTCTCTGGCAAATTGTAACCTCTCCGGCACATGTCTTTTTTTTTTCAACAGTGGGACTTTGCGGGGGGGTTCTTGCAGATAGCTTGGCTTCACACGGGCGTCTTCTAATTGTAACAGTACTCACAGGTAGCTTTAGACCTTCTTTGATCTTCCTGGAGCTGATTGTTGGCTGAGTCCTTGCCATTTTGGCTATTCTTCTATGCATTAGAATGGTAGTTTTTTCGCTTTCTTCCACGTCTTTCAGGTTTTGGTTGCCATTTTAAAGCATTTGCAATCATTTTAGCTGAGCAGCCTATCATTTTCTGCACTTCTTTATATGTTTTCCCCTCTCCAATCAACTTTTTAATCAAGGTACGCTGTTCTTCTGAACAATGTCTGGAACGACCCATTTTCCTCAGAATTTCAGAAAGAAATGCACTGTAACCAGAATGTACAACATTTGCTGCCTTCCTTCCTTAAATAAGGGCAAGAATTGCCACCTGTTTTTCAAAGAATGAATGACCTCACTAACAGAACTCCACACTGCTATTATTTTGAACATGCCCCTTTCAATTAGTGATTCAATTACACAGAATCAGCAGCATGCATGTCATGACTGTTGGGTCTGTTGGATTTCTATTACTCTACTACACCTGCTAGTAAATTATTTGCCAGGCAGAAATATCATTTCTACCAAAAACCGTGATTGATCAGGTTAGTGATGTCTGACTGCTATTATTTTGAACACAGCTGTACATGTATTGCACAAAGGTACTGAATATGTTTTTTATTATTTTGCCCTGACATACACTTTAATGTAACCAAGGTTCTTGAAATTAACTTATTACAATAACTGACTGCCTGTCTTCCAGCTATAAGTAAAACATCATCTGGTATTAACAAAAGCACTTTAGCAAAAGGTACTGACCTAACCAGTCGTCCGTCATCCTAACAACCGTATTAAAGGGTTACTAAACCCAAGACCCTGCATTCGCTATATCTGGTCTCCCACAGTACACACAACATGGAAATGCAATTATTTTCAAAAATATAGACTGCTAAATATATTTTCTCATCAGCAGTATATAGCAGTCTTGTGACTTCCATCAGTGTCCAGCTGAGCACTTATTAAAGCTTGTAGGAGTTTTCATTCTGCTCTCACTGCCCTATGAGATTGCATAACCCCTGACCCTCTGTCTGGACAGTGCTGATGGGCCCTGTGCTGATCACATGTTCCCTCCCAAGAAAAAGGAAAAACTCTTGCAGTACACACCAAAACTGAGCATGTGCAGAGTGTCCGCCAAGCTGTGTCCTATCAGGAGATGTAATGTGCAATGTGGAAGAAAGGGAGGATCAGAGAAGACAGGATCAAACATCTTCTACACAATTCAGAGATTAACCCCTTAGGTTCCACAGTGTGTATAACAAGCATGCTTTGCTGCATATACAGACTGATTTTACTGTTGTGGGTTTAGGAACACTTTAAGCAGAGAAATGCCAGAGAGTTGCTACTCTGCATAATGTCCGTTCTACCAAAGCCAGAAAACTAAAAACAGTTGAAAAACCTATTTAGAGATTACAGCATCTCTTTCATTGTAGTCACAGTACAACATTTAGACACATTTTTTTTAATTGTCTTCAGCAATGGCTAAAACACTGACTGTGTTGATGGGGAAACTGAATGATTTTCTTTCCTTCCACCTTTGGTGGAAGGAAAGAAACTAGGGTCATCTATGGGCTGCTTAACTTGCAACAGGTTGTAATGAACAGTATGTTCTGCAGTTAGCTATAGAGGTTGATAATTGTTGCTCATCTTATATTCCAGGTCTGACGATTCCGCTTACCAAGCATATCCAGCACATTATTCAGCCAAGTCTGCTTTGTGGTATTAATTTTAAAGGTTCCATGCAGTTTGCAGGATGATTACTACAAGTGTGAAAAATCATAAAGTTCACAGAGTGAAGTGAAAGATTACTGTAGGATTAGAAGGCAAGAAGGGATTATGGGAGCCAGGCTCGCACATGTGGATATACTAAACCCCAGAGTTCGATATGGTGACTCATATAAACCTGTTGGCAGAGTTCACAATCCCGCCTAGTGGTTATGCCAACAAAAATGTTGTCACAGATTGAGAAAATAATGAGAATAGTACTTTAATAAAACAAGTCTTCAGACAGAAAATCACATCACCTACAGCGGGTGGAGCAAAAACCAATGCAGGAGAGACTCAGCACTTACTATTCGGTTCGTCAATTATTCAAAGTAACAGATATATTGTCACTTATTTTTATCTCTACACTCTATGGTGCTCATTTTTTACAGCCTAATTTTACCTTTTGCAAAATAAAAATGCATCCACATAAAAAAAAAAAAAAAAAAAAAAAAAGCCTCATCCTTGCCTCCAAGACTGAGAGTTTGGCAATCAATCTCTGAGTTCTAGGTCTGCTCTGAGTGACCGTCCGTCACCGTTCTCTGGTCCTCCAGTGCTTACCAGAGCTCCAGACTGGGGAGGCGGTGGGAGCGACTGGTTCAGGCCATCTCTGCTGCACAACGAAAGGTGCAATCCACCTGTGAGGCCTCTGTCGGATCCTGAAAATATTGTTCGGATCCTTCCAGAGTCTGCTTTGGCTCTGCCCGTCAGCTTATAGCAGGCAATAGCCCACCTATCACCTAAGCCTGAGTCACAGGAGAATGAAAGTGTACTCCTGTGACACAAAAGCATACAAAAGGTGTGGACAAGAGCAGGCTTTATTGTGTTGAATGCTATACTGAAGCAGCTGAGATAGGAATTTATTAATTTTGAATGAAGCCACTTTATTACAATAATCTCACTCATAATCTGTCTTCTGTTAAGAATTTCCTTGCCGTATGACAGAATACATGTCCCCCAATGAATACTGTAACCGCTTACCTTTAAAAGTTGTTTGCCAACTGTTGGGCTCATTTTTTCATCAACCATAAGGATTACAATTCCCCTTTCATCCATGCCACGTCTTCCTGCACGGCCAGACATCTGGATGTACTCGCCCGAGGAGATCTGCATAAAAGCAAACAGTGGTTGATACCCCTCAAGAAGGTAAGCTTCAAAACATTTTATTTCCAAGCCTTCCAACTCACCCAACGAAAATCTTTCCCATCAAATTTCTGTGCATTGGTGAACAGCACAGTCCTGGCTGGCATGTTTATACCCATGGCAAAGGTTTCTGTTGCGAACAAAGCCTGTTGAGACATCAGAATTTAAGAAGCAAAATTACCTTAACACATGAAAGACGAGATGTTAAAGTGGTTCTAAAGGCTCATGGTTTACCTTCATGCATTCTATGCATGAAGATAAAAAACCTCTATGCAGTTTTCCCCCCCAGCTCCCCCCGAATACTCCCCTAAGCCCCCTCTCGATCCAGTGATGTGCACTTGAGTCTCGGCTATCCCAGGACTCCCTCTTCTCAATGGCTGAGACAGAAGCAGAAGCCATTAGCTTCCACTGCTGTCAAACACAGCCAGTGAGCCAATGAGAAGGGGGGGCGAGGTGAAGCTGCTGCTCTGAGTGTGAATGGACACCGAGCAGTGGGTGCCCCATAGCAAGCTGCTTGCTGTGAAAGTACCCTACAGGAGGGAGGGGCCAGGAGATCCTGCAGGGGACCCGAGAAAAGGAGAATCAGGGATGTTCTGTGCAAAACCACTACACACAGCAGGATAAGTATAGAAATTTTTGCTAAAAAAAAAAAAAAAAAAAAAAAAAAAAAAAAAGCCTTTAGAATCCCTGTATGGTAAAGCAAGAGTCACTTTCATTGTGGCCCCACTAGTATATACTCACATTCTCTTCAGTCCCCCACCAGGAAAGAAAAATACCAGGCTATGGTCCTTTCATGTGACAGAGTTTGCAATTGGCGGATTAGGTACCCAGAGCTGTCACATGGGGTGAGAAAAGAGTTACTGCTGATAAAAAAAAAACAGCAGGGGGACAAAAGGAAGGAAAGTATGTGCAGGTGGAGGGCATTAAAGTGACTTCAGTGATCTCCAGTACAAAAACAATAATGTGTGAAAGTGTGACTAACTGTATAAAATGAAGATATGGTTATCACTGGCTAAGCATCTTCAAGCTTTTTTCAAATATCTCAGGAAAATCTACAAAGTAATACAATATAAAAGTTCAAATTGTGATGTTTTCTGCAGTTTAGATACTGAGAATACAGGCTACTCAGAATGGTTTTCTTGCCAATGAGTGGTAAGCAGCCTTTAATTTACTATTTGGTAATTGCTTCACTACTTAAGAAATTCAGAACTTAAGAATAAAAGCTGCAAAGAGTTCACTTTTAAAAACAAGTCTGCAATGGCAGGCAGTTGACTTATTTCTATCCTGACAAATTCCCTTTATGCAAACAGCCGCCAAAAGGGCAGCCATAAGTCTATAGCAGCTGGATTGCCAGATACCTCTCACTTGTGCTCATATATATGATCTAAACTGGCCCCAATCATCCAATGATTATCTGATGACTAGAGTCCATATTCGAACAATTATTTTGTTTGCTTACTGGATACAGCGAGGGAAGAGTTAGAACATCTAATGGGTTTCTATTCTTACTGGAACCACAGAAAGTCTGCAGAATCCTACTGACAATATAAAATTCTGAGAGTTTCCATCTCTTCCCCAATCAGCTACAAAGTGACCACTAAGGCTCCTTTCTCACTATTGGTATTGTTTACCGACCCTTGAAAAGAAATTTTGGGTGGATTGATTTTCAGAAGACCGTGCAAGGGGATTACCAGGCGATCAGGAGGTGATACAGCCACCTTCTAAATATATGCACATGACAACATAGCACTACAGGATAAGAGATCACAATATACTGTAAAAGGTGACCATTCTGATTGTCAGCTCCCATCTACAACTGGTAAGTTGCACCAATGCTGCCTTCTTCAGACCGGGGAATCTTGAACAATAAACAGAAAGGGGGCGCAAAGGCCTAGTGCATTACCAAATAAAACCAATGAGTGCACACAAACAATAGAATTGGCTAAACCAGCAGTACAAAACACAACCCAAGTGACAGGGTGTTCCTATTAGAGATGAAGATCACATGACTCTGACATAACTCAGACTTACCAGTTTATGCATTTCAAAGGATGAACCCTCTTCCTCAGAGCAAAAAGAGTTAGTCTCTTGAAGCTCTGAAGAAGAGGGTTTGCCCCTTGAAACATGTTAGCTGGCAAGTCTGAGTGATGTCAGTGGTCATGTGAACAGCTCTAATAGGACCACCCTGCCACTTGGTTTGTGTTTTTACCATAGTTTTAGCCTTTGGACACCCCCGATGTCATTTACTCTGCATGCAGTGTTAACATTGCTATGCAGCACAGCAATACATACTAATACTAATGGCACCCTGTCCACTTGTAGGTGGGTGATCAATAAAAACCATCAACATTCTGCTCTGGCTGCCCGTGTGAAAGAAGCCTAAGGCAGTCTGCAGAAATCTCCCCATGGCAATACTGACAGATGTTCTATCCTTCATACTATAAAAAGTGGTGTGGAGATCTGCTTTAATTACATCACGATACACAATTTATTCTGCCTCTTCCTTACCTTTAGTAGACCTTCAGAGAAAAGAATCTCTATGGTCTCTTTCAGTATGGGCAGCAATCCTCCATGATGGATCCCAATACCTCGCTTCAGAAGAGGGAGGACATGCTCCACCTAGAAATCCAACACAGGGTTTGAGATGAAAGCTCCCTCACTGAATGGCTGCTGTACAGAAAAATGTTTCCAAGCATACATAAAAATACATTTGGAAAGTTAGTTTATTTTAGAGAAAGAACGTTCATCATGAATACGCAGGTTTGTTTGGCTCATAAAGTAAAGAAATCACCATTGTATCATTGAAAATATTGTGATTAATGCTAGATGTGGAAGCCACCATTGTCAGAGTTGCATCAATGGCAGCCCAAAGAACATCAGGCCTCAAAGTTGAATCCAGAGGGGAGGAAAAAAAAAAAAAAAGAAAAAGGTTTCTCTCTTGCAGGGGGCCCTTCACTACTGCTAAGGATAACTGCTTGTTTTGCCTCAGGGATGATGATGAATAAGGTGATGTGATTGCCTTATTCCTTGCTTCCACAGGCTCTCTCCTATTCATACAACCAATACTCTGAAGCCCCCTCCTTTGCTGCCCAACCAGTTACAACTCTGACATACCCTGTACAAAGCAGAACCAGCAGTCCTACATTGTACTGGAGGTTTCTGAAGGCCCACCCACAGTCCAGAGTACAGTGGAGGAGAGTGATGGAGGCAAATCGGTGGAAGAGGAACACTGGTTGGTTGCTACTGGTTTATACACTTCACTTCAGTCTGTTAAACAGTTACTAGTTCTCTGGACTAGCTGATAGTTAAACTGCTGTACTCATAGATTCAGTGTCATGCTCCTTTATATTTTTGTTTTCTTTACTAAATGCTTTGACTGAACAAGATGTGTGAAACACTGCAAGATGACGCAACTCTATTTTATCAAGTATTATTAAATTAAAGGGCGACTGCACTTTAGAAATAAAACAAAAATGGTACCCCGTTTTGAACTCACGGAACCAAAATGAGACTCAACATGCCGATATCTGACCTGTGCCGCTGCTAGAGCCTGCCCAGAGCTCAATAGTATTTAGAAAGTTCTGGCAGTCCTCCAATGTGACATGTACATGTTAACCATAGCCATAGAGCACAATGGCTGCTCCAGGTGAATGAGCCAAGTTTAAAACAGACTACTGTATAGTCCATGGCCAGAACTGGGCAATGAATGTCAAATCGGAGCACTGCCAGAACTCTGCAGGCTGTAAACACTGGTCAGACCTGGAGAGGCTGTGGCACATAAGGGGTTAATGATCTACATTGCAACCCTAATATAGATGTCACACGAAATTGAATGATTTTTTTTTTATTTTTTTTTTTTAAGCTCTCATGCTATACATGCTACCACAGAAAAATTCTGACTTTTCATCATCTTTTTATTATTTTAAATAAAAAAAAAAAAAAAAACACATGCTATACTCACCTGCTCTGTGCAATGGCCCTGAACCTGTTCTTCTTCGGTCCTCTGCCATCAATCTTGGCTTCTCCGCTTGCTATAGGGGTACACAGTGCATGCTTGCTCCCGAGCTGTGTATGGAGCCATAGACACCCAGTGAAGTTTAACCCCGTCCCCCCCACTCCCTCCTAATTGCATTTGAGCCATTGGCTCTTTATGCAAGCAAAATCGCTGTGTAAAAGAAGAAGACAGGGAAGAAGAGATACAGTCATGCACAGCACTGGATTTCTTCTCCCGTTTCCCTTCACACAGGGAAGGGGAGAGGACAGCAAGCTATAAAACATCTTAATGCAGAGAATGCATTAAGGGAAAAAAAACATTTTGGCTTTAGAAACACTTTAAAAACTTGCAGGCTACCCACTTCCTTTTTATAAATGCATTCCTCTAGCAAATACTGTGGCCCATTAACGAATGTCTATGTGTGAAGAGAGAAAAATATTAATTTATATACTTGAAGGAGACATATTTGGATATATAGTGACTGACAGTGGGTGCGGGGAGAGGATTCCCTGCCTGTTGTCACAATGGGGGATCAGGTCAGGATGGCAGCAGGTGATATATTAATATGTTACACCCTAAATATGGTTTAACATGTAACATGTTACTAAAGGCGAATTTATCCTTTGCAAAAAAAAAAAAAAAATGCACAGACAAAAACACAAACAAAAAAACAAGACACCATTTCATGCAAAGCAACTTTTCCTATGAATGGGATCTGTTAGGACTACTTCTGTGGATGATCTCAGGGCATACCTGTGGAAGCTTCTTATCTTCATCTGATAGACAATCTATGGCATTATTAAACACTTCTTCCACCATCTTTTTCTCTTCATCTATGTCAAGAGACAGAAATGGTCACAGTGTCAACAATGTATGTTTTTTACAGAAAGAAAGAAACAGATTAAAGAATATATTACAACATCCTAAAAACCTATCCAGGACCCATTACTCAAGGTATGAGCAGGCAGACTGCCTATCAATATAGAGACCTCATACAGTATATTGACCTATGTAAACCAATATACTGACATATAGTGAAATAATTAGAATGATGGTATTTATATCAGGCATCACACAGAAATCACTTTATAGGCCAAGGCTGAGAAGATGACACTATGCTTGATTCATCAGTTATGAGGGTTACAGTGATAAGTGATGATTATTCACTCCTACAACATGTAAGCAGCGTAACCTTGCCATTCTAAACCAGGTTGGTATGGTGACGGTATGGACATCTATCATTAGAAGGCATAAGACATACAACATAGTCCACTAAATACCAGAGTTGAAATCCAGCTTGGACATTTGCAGAGCATAGGCCTCGCACTCCTTCTTGCTGAAACTGAAGATAATAACTGGCTGGAAGTTGCGCTCCATAATCATTTTGACAATCTTGAACACATTAGAGGGTCCTGGAAGGAGAATGACATCAGGTATTAGTGATGAGAGATATCACATTTCATTATTACCCCAGGAGCAATACAGGAGGTCGGAACACATGGATCAGATTATACCTCTCCTGTGAAGGCGATATAGGACTGCGTCCAAAGAGAAAAATGTAACCAAATCAAACAAAACCACTTCTAATAAACGTGAATACAGCACCATTACGTTTTCTTTATAATCCAGTTCTCAGAACGCATTAACTGCTCACAGATAGCATGACCATGCATCAGCTATGGGATTTAATATTTAAAGTGATTGTAAATACAATTTTTTTTTTAATTAACCAACGGGTATACACAGCCCCAAACCTCGTCTTCAACGGCTGCTCCGCCAGTGCTCCTGGCTCCTCATCTCTGACAAATGTCCCCATAGGACGCAACTTCCTACTGGGGCACTTAAGCGGGCTCTCCTAAGGTCTACTACCTGCGTCTATAGACACATAGGAGGACTCTGCCCCCCACTCCCTTGTGACCAGCTGTGATTAACGGCATCGATCACCATTGGCCTCCTCAGCAAAAGCCTGTGAGACCAGGATGTGGGGGGGGGAGAGAAGAGCTGCAGACGGGCACAGCACTGGATTGAATGAGGGCTCAAGTAAGTAAATGGGGAGGTAAGGGGGGTGATACTGATACCTGAACATTTTTCATCTTACTGCAAGGAATGCATCAAGATAAAAAATGGTTAGGCTTTATTCCCACTTTAAAAAAAACTTCAACCTGGAGTTGTCCCTGAAGTAATACCTTTCCACCATTAGACATTCTCAGTCTTCCAGGCTGAACGTGAAAGACAACCAGCATTGTTCAACCCACTTTCTTTGAACCTAGGCTGTCGTGGACAACTCCCTGGCACAGACAAAAAATTACTGCACAGCACAGAACAACACTTATGTTATATAAGTGATCTTCAGTGCAGCAGAAAGGACTAACAACAATTATCAAGGGAAGTGAAGGAGAAGAACTGGTGAAGTCATCGGACTGGCCATCAGACCCTTAAAAAAAAAAAAAAAAACTTTTTTTTTTTCCTATTTTCTTTGTTTTACAAAGACAAGTCGTGAGGGATAACAGGGAACCAGACAAAAAAAAAAAAACAAAAACAAAAAAAAAAAAACTGGGTTCTAGCTTCCCCTACTTAACTTTGTCATCAAAACAGGACGTGAGAAAATCCCCCTAACCCTAGGTTCACACCTGTTTTCCACAGAGTTTTGCAGAAATGCATTACAGTCCATTTAACATGATTTATTATGGGACATGTTCAAATCTCTGCGTTTTCACTCGGTGCGTTTTTTTAGAAAGGGTCAGGGACTTTAAACTCAAAAAGCTGAGTTTTTGGTTCTATAGACTTCAATGGAAATGCTGCAGAAAAACATGTAGTGCATTTTTGCTGCGTTTTAAAACTGCCTAGCAATAAAAAAAAAAAAAAAACGCATCCAAAACACAGGTTCAAAAATCGCAAAATGCAATGCAGAAACAGCTCAGACGCAAACTGCATAGATGTTAACCTAGCCTCAGAGTCCTAGATAGCACTTGACAAAAATTCTAAACCTTCCCCACTTCATCCACAGCCAGAAAAAGAAAAAAAAACTAGCTATAGATATACATTAATTCACATAATACTCTGTAGCATTGTCTTGGAACAAGCAAAATAAAAAATGAATGTAATAAGGTTTCTCAGTTCAAACACACTTGCTTTATCTACATCATTGAAAGAGCAACTCCAGACATTCTCTCCTTTACTTCTGGAGAGGGGTTAGAGTAGGGGTGGGCAAACTTTTTGACTTGAGGGCCGCAATGGGTTCATATATTGGACCCGGGGGCCGGACCAAGAGTAGATGAATGATGTGTATGTGTCATCCATAGTAAGTATAGTAATATTCCCCCATAGTAAGCATAGTAATTAATCCCCCATAGTAAGCATAGTAATTCATCCCCCATATAGTAATTCATCCCCCATATTAAGTCCCCAAGTCCCCCCTGTGTCAATTCACTTACCTTTGCTCCGCGCGTTCCTCTCGCCGTGTTCCCGCGCCGTTCCGGTGTAGCATGAAAATCTGTCTCCTATGAGGATCTGTCCCCCTCGACGTATCTGCGCATGTGCCAGTTTCAGGCATTAGCAGCCAATCGGCGATCTCCGGCACATGCGCAGATACGTCGAGGGGGACAGAACCTCATAGAAGACAGATTTTCATGCTACACCGGTCTTCAGGGCGGACTGTGAGAGGAGCCTAGCGGGAGCCTAGCTCCGCGGGCCAGATTAAAAGGTCCGCCGGGCCGTATATGGCCCGCGGGCCGTAGTTTGCCCATTGCTGGGTTAGAGTGTCAGATTTTATTTGAAATGCATGGCACCATAAGGTTTGGTAGGAATGGAAAATCTCTATTGTGAAGAGAGATTTTTTTTTTTTTTTGTAAAAGTAGTAGGGGGAGGGGCTGGACTGCTGCCTGTGTCCTCGTAATGACCTTCTAATGACCCTCGTAATTTCCTGTCCTGATGTCGCATGGACAGGTATATAAAAAAAAAAAAAAAATCTCCATAACAGGTCACGAACACACAACTCCATCCAAATTGCAAAAAAAAATGCACGTTGTTTTAGCTGGAGATGGAAAAAAGACAGTTGAATAGCAAGTGACTGAACCAGAGATATATATATATATATATCCATCCATAAGACCTTTAGGAAAAGCACAGGACTCAAGCCCAGCCTCTAAACTGTACCAGACAGGCTCATACACCAACACAACACAGATAGAATTGGATTGCTTTGTACAAACTCCAGTGGCAGACAGTACCTTTTGTTCCTCCTTTACGTCCTCTTTGGTCTCCCTTGGAGGCTTCTCCAGCATCCCTAATTACCTGCATTGCTGTATTGAAGTTGTCTTCTCGAAAATCGCCCTGAAAGCAAATTTTAAAAAAATAAAGTTACAGTTTGATTCAATTTCACCATACATGTATGGACTATATTCTAATTTTTTACTTACATTCTCATCCACGACAAGATGGAGGCCATCGCCCCCTGCAGGAAATATGTAATGTTGAAGGGGAGTCGGGCGATAGTCTGTGTAGATAACATGACAAGGCTAAAAAAAAGAAAAAGAAAAAAAAAAAAGATACAAAGTTTCAGAACAAATACAAAAAGTTTATTTAATATTGAAATAGACAAAATGTATTATTTTGAGAAAAATATATGACTAAAGGTCAGATTCACAAGCAAATATGTGCTAAAAATGCTCCTTTCAATCATTGTGACAATAGAAGCTCTTAAGCATGCAGTTATTATACATCTATTCATAGCTGGCCATACATGGGCAGAATTTCATTCGAAAATGTTTTCTTTTCTAATAGTGAATGGTGTCAAAAGGGATTATGTATTGAAACATAGCAACAAAAATAAACACATTTTTATTAAAATTAAATGTTTCCATATTGGAGGAATCAGTTTGATTGGGAAATTGCAATAACTGCAAAATAGAATGTCAAACAAATAAAAGTCAGTATTGATTACTATTATACAGTATTTATATAGCACCAAAAGGTTTGCTCAGCGCTGTATTGTAGTGGGGGACAGTACATGAGACAATACAGTAGCAAAACAATACACAAGGGGTTCGAGGGCCCTGCTCTTTGGAGCTTACAATCTAGGAGGGAGGGGATAGTGGTACAGGAGGAAATGGCTGTGGGGGATGGAGTGGTAGGAAGAGGAGGAGAACGGCTGTTAAGTGAGAGTGGGGTAGGTTTCCCTGAAGAGATGGGTTTTCAGGGTGCGCCTGAAGGTGAGGAGGGTAGGTGACAGTCTGATGGATTGGGGTAGAGAGTTCCAGAGGATGGGGGAAGTCCTGGAGAAGTCCCGCAGTCGGGCGTGGGAGGAGGAGACCAGGGAGCTAGAAAGTAGGTCGTCTTGTGAGGAGCACGGGTTGGGTGGTATTTGGGTATCAGGTTGGTAGGTAGCTTGGGGCAGCGTTATGAATGGCTTTGTACGTCAATGTTAGTAGTTTGAATTTAATTTGTTGGGCAATTGGAAGCCAGTGGAGGGAATGACAGAGGGGGGGGGTAGAAGCGAAGCGGTTGGTAATGTGGATGAGTCTGGCCACTGAGTTCAGGAAAGACTGAAGCGGGGTTAGCCTGTGTTGGGGTAGGCCAGTGAGTATTGATGGAGGAAACTCTCCCATATGAAGCCCTCTCTACCTCCCTAACCCCCTTCCCCCCTCCATACAAGCTGGTTGTGCTGACATTGATCAATAAATCAACTTCAGTACAACCAGCCTGCCAATAGATGGATTGAAATTCAATTGGTTCTGGCTAAATCTCTCCCTCTAGGAAGCAATATCTAAAGTATAATTAAAGGCAAAACTTTTGTTTTTTTCAGCTCTGGATAGAGTGCCATCAGTTTTTTATTGCTGTTTGCACCCTGGTTAAGGAGATTCATCCTCTATTTGTTCTGTTTACCATTGTCATTGAAAGTAAAAAATAAATCCCACACTTTGGGTTGTCCCCAGAAAAGTAATAGAGGGGAAATCTTCCAAGGGGGTCATTAGCTCTATTGACCTGGGGGGCTCCAAGGAATTCCCTTAAATTTGCAGGGATTTTCTAAAATGTCCTGTTTGGCTATGGGCCAGGAAGTGAAGGGAAATCTCTGCAATGACACAGATGGGGAAAAATCCAAAATTGAGAAAAAAAAAAAAAAGTTTTGCCTCTAGTTCTACTTTAAGTCTATGATCTACCAGAACACCCAGATCCTACTCCTCCGGTGACTTCCCCAGTTCTCCTAGTATGTATGATGCATGTTTTCAGCACCAAAGTGAATATCTTTACATTGATCAACATTAAACCTCATTTGCCACACAATTGCCCAAACACCCTGTAAGCACGATTCACTGCATAGCTTGGTGCCCTCTGCCAACCTGAGTCAGGTCTCAGACACACAGAGTGTTTTCTTAGCTCCCCTGATCACCTTTTTGCCTGGCAGGTGAAAAGCGGCTTAAAAAACATGCCTAAAGCCACGTTTTGCACGTGTCAAGGCGTATCAAGTGCTTGAGCGTTAAAGGATTCCACTGGCCAGAACATTCATTTATTTTGGTCAGAGGAATGAACACTCATGTGCTAAATGTACCTAGAGTTGAAGGTGCATTTAAAAAGCATTTAGGCACGCCAAGAGTTTTTTTCTTCCCAAAAGCTCCTCTCCTGAAAAGGCTGGTGATGTGTTATTTTTCTTGTTTGTAAACGTTCCTTTTCTAAGATGCCTGTAGACACACAAGGTAGCAGACGTGCATTTACAATAAAACACACACAAAAAAAACAAACAAACAAAAAAAAAACACACGCCTGTAAAATCACTGTTTAAGCCCAATGTGTGTGAGGTCTGAAAGTGAACAGTGGTTTATACAGAGGAAGAACAATGAAAAATACATATTAATAAATCTGTCAGGAACTTGTGCAGATAGTAAAAGCACATTGAGGGGAAAAAAACGAAATGACGCTCTTGCGCCATCTATCGGTTGAACAAAACCGCAGCCGTAAAGTCCCTAAGTAGTTTATCTGCGATATCTACTGGATATTTGCAAATGACATGCGAGTTTCCTGTAGAAGCCCACAGCGCCATCTATTGGTTTAGCCTTACTATAGCACGTAATAACGCGTCATCGCCATCTATTGGTTTAGCATCACTACAGCACTCGAACATTTACATAACCCACAGCGCCATCTATTGGTTTAGCAGCACTACAGCACTCGAACATTTACATAACCCACAGCGCCATCTATTGGTTTAGCCTTACTACAGCACGTAATAACTCGTCAGCGCCATCTGTTGGTTTAGTATTTTATACAGCACTCGAATATTTGTATTCCAACAGCGCCATCTATTGGTTCAGCATCACTACAGCACTCGAACATTTACATAACCCACAGCGCCATCTATTGGTTTAGCCTTACTACAGCACGTAATAACTCGGCGCCATCTATTGGTTTAGTATTGTTACAGCGCTCGAATCTTTGTATAGCCCACAGCGCCATCTATTGGTTTAGCCTTACTACAGCACGTAATAACTCGTCAGCGCCATCTATTGGTTTAGTATTGTTACAGCGCTCGAATCTTTGTATTCCCACACCGCCATCTATTGGCTTAGCCTTACAACAGCACGTAATAACCCGTCGGCGCCATCTATTGGTTTAGCAGTTTACAACACTCTGCATACCCCCACAGCGCCACCTATTGGTGTATAGCTAACTACAGCACTTGGATATGTACATGCCCCCAAAACGCCATCTATTTATTTACAATCACCGCCATCTACTGGCTCAAACTTACAACACCCAAATGCACACGTGACTCTTTAGCGCCATCTATTTCACAGGTTTAGTATGACTGCAGCCCTCAATGCACGACTCTTTACCGCCATCTATTGGTTTAATATTACTACAGCACTCAACTGAAGTACCCCACAGCGCCACCTCTTGGCTTACATAACTACACAAACCACATAATGTACTCCGTGCCATCTACTACATACTACAGCATCTACATCGACTATACTACAGCTCTCAGCACACCTCTTCTCCACCATCTATTGGTTTAAATTCGAATTACTACAGCACTTATACAATTGCTACCACCACAGCGCCATCTATTGGTTTAAATTCGAATTACTACAGCACTTATACAATTGCTACCACCACAGCGCCATCTATTGGTTTATATTTTTTTATTTTTAACATAAGTATATAAAAAACAAGATACTTAAATTGGGGTATATTCCACCCTGTACTGCAACGCAGCACATAACTATACCACAACTATACTGTTCCAATCATACAATAAATACATTCACTCAGCGGTATGATGCCTAACGTGGGGTGTGGAGCAAAAAGTTCCATGAACCATCAGGTCACGCGCCGCTTACCCTAAGACTGTTTGTGGCCCCCTAAGGTTCCACCAGAGTACCTAGCGGCACGATGGTAGAACCCGAGTTTGGACCCATCCCACACATCCTACATGTCACTGCAACATAAACTGTAGCATACAAAACATTACTGAATGAGCAAAAACAATTCAGAAAAGCAGCGGGTGTGATGGGGGTAGGAAGGAGAGCAGAGGGAGGGGAAGCAGAGCACCCAAAATACAGAAATGACAGTCCAGCACCATCTGTCAGTCAACCACGACGTCTCTATTGCAGCCAAGCCATCCTGCACTAGCAACATGAATGGAGCTCTTGGTATTTCCATGGTAACCACACAGTGTCATCCTCAGGTGACAAGTCTGCACATTTCCAAATCACAATTTAAAGGGTTTCTACTGCCCTCTATTGCTTTCACCACGGCTGTGCAATAATGTAATTTTGCAGCTGTAGTTAGTCAGCACGTGGCTATTTTATGGCATTTTCCGGATCTATGTAGTATTCCATATTGTATGAACAATGCACATAAAATATTAGTTCTCACTGAAGATTGTGATAGGTTAGACTGACAGGTGCGTTGCAGACTATTAGTGCTACATAAATCCAGACTAGACAAGCAAAAAAAAGAGGGCCTATAATGGTCACTAAAATCACCCTCATTTGCTTGCATTTTCGATTTGCCTGGATTGGGATGTGGCACCAAAAAGAATCAGATTAGGCTGTTAGTGGTCTGAACAATTTTTCATTCCGTGTTAATATGAAGTCACAAAAAATACATAAAAAGGGATCAAAGACAGCATACCATGAACAGGTAAAAAATAGTTAGTGGTATGTCGACTGTGTCCATTTATTTATGCGATATGTCAGTTAAAGAGGTTGAATCAATTGAGTACTGACGTGATACTTTTTTTATTTGCACTAACATACAATTTTGAGGAGAAGCTTTCGGGGAGTGTCCCCTTCTTCAAGGTCCAGGGTAGTACTGCCTGGACCTTGAAGAAGGGGACATACCCCGAAGGCTTCTCCTCAAAATTGTATATTAGTGCAAATAAAAAAAGTATCACGTCAGTACTCAATTGTTTCTGTCGCAAGGGCACTAATACGGCTACAATCACCTCAAGTTAAAGTGGTTAGAATGGTCACAATACAGCCCGATGTAAGCAGAGCATTAGTTGCAACTCTCAGCC